TGTATAGCTTGGGTGTTATGGAATGAAATGCAATAATAATTTCTTGGCACTGCAGGTGTTTTTATTTAGGTTAAAATATCTGCAATAAATTATATAATAGAAGAAATACTATCTCATTTCTTACGAATAATAACTAATATGATTTCACAGCATTTTTTAATACTTCAAAGTATCTATTAACATAAATGCATTTTCCAATATAAATATGATATATTTTATTTCCGATAAAGTTTCTAGTTTTACTTTAAGCCATTCTTGTTAATTGTCTTTGCAAAAGCCAAGCGAACTGGAAACCGATAAGCACCTATCATTGATATGTGTGCATACCAAATTTCAATTTTATGTGACTTCTGGTTCCGAAGTTTTGGCTAATTAAAAATTCTACGACTATAAGATATGCCACGCCCCCTCCTACAAAGTCATTTATACATACTGAATGCTACTGGTTCTGAGGGTATTCATCCTAAGTTCTTCAAATGCATTCCACCTAAAATTCTACCTGACGTAACTTTTGCTCTGAATACCATCTTGGCAACTTCGGATTTCCCACTCTGCTGGAAAAGAGCTAAGATAGTTCCATTTGAAAAACCCAATGGTGATTATAGGCCTATTGCGATACTTCCCTGCCTGTCCAAAGTCCTCGAGCGCATTATGCACCGCCAGATAAATTTCTACTTAAGTCGCAACTCCTTGCTTAACCCTTACCAATCTGGATTTAGGTCTAACAGGAGTTGCACGACGGCACTCATTAAAGTTTCTGATGATATTAGACAGAACATCGACAACAATCACGTTACCTTTCTAACTCTTCTTGACCATTCAAAAGCCTTTGATACCGTTAGTCATGAAATCCTATGTCTACTGAATAATTATACGTTTAAGTGGCCAGAACAAAGTCCCTCATCATAGTCATCCGAGCAGAAGCGCTTGAAGATAAGTACCGAATCCGTGATTAGTGCGAGATATGGTGTATTAATAATTACATCATTACACAATGGTGTGAGCATGGGTGTAAGCCAAAAACAAATAAAACAAGTAAGAAAGTCTAAGTTCGGGCGGAGCCGAACATTAAATACCCGGCGCAAGTATTAAATATGTGTTTTCCACCTTTCCGAAAGCTACCGCTACATGATAAGCGGGTGTATAAATATTAAGTAAATTAGCGTCCTTAAATTTCGAAATATTGAAATTTCAAGCATTTCTGAAATTTACCGTTATATGAAAANGTGGCAAGCACAATAATCATACCGAGTTTGGTACAAATTGCTAGAACTGTTACCGATATACATAAATGTGATCATAAGTGGGCGGTGCCACGCCCATTTTCCAAAGTTTTGTCATAAGCGTATTTCCTGATAAAGAATTGTTGCAACCATCAATTTTGAATAAATTAGCTTTAATATTTACTGATTTATCGAGGATTTCGTATTTCTCGAAATTACCGTTATATGGGATGTGGGCGTGGTTATTGTCCGATTTTAAAAATTTTCGGCCATTTGGTATGCTGTACCAGGGTCAACAACTGTGCCAAGTTTGGAAGAAATTGGTGCAGCGGTTACCAAAATATACACATGTAACTATAAGTGGGCGTGGCTACGCCCATTTTTCAAAAATTTTTAATATTCTTATTTCTCGTCTAAAAGTTATTCTAAATGTCAATTTTGAGTGAATTATCTTCAGTAGTTACTAAAATATCGCAGTTTTCGTATTTCTGAAAATTACCGTTATATGGGAGGTAGGCGTGGTTATTGTCCGATTTCGCCCATTTTCAATACCATCCGTCCTACGCCCAAAAGAAGTCCACGTACCAAGTTTCGTTAAGATATCTCAATTTTTACTCGAGTTATCGTGTGCACAGACGGACGGACGGACGGACAGACAGTCACCGCTTAATCGATTTCTCTTTTCATTCTGATCATTTATGTATACATTTGTCTATATCTATCTCGATTCGTTTTGCCTGTTACAAACAACCGTTATGTGAACAAAGTTATAATACCCTTGTGCACAAGTGCGCTCAGGTATAAAAATAAATTACCAATTCGATTCATTGGCAGTTGCTAAATTCTTACCTGAAACGCAGTTGAAAAATCCCTAGTTTTAGAAGGTGATGATGCTGCTGGTGTGCACTGCTTGAACGAAACACAAACATAAAGACTGGTTAAATTCTGATAATATAAACAGGGACGTGAATCGGATGAAAATTTTGGTCGGTTCGGTTTAGCGGTTCGAACCGTTTATACACTTTTGGATTGGTTCGACAAAGCGGTTTTTTAGTCTTTGAACCGGGGCTTTGGTTCGGTTCAACGGGTCGGAAATAAAAAAAAGAACGCGCAAGTCTAAGTGTAAAGTGTCAAGTGCAACAACGCACAAGGTTAAATTTCAAGTGTATGTTAAATGAGATGAGTTGCCTTTACATTTGATATTGCCACATGGTAAACAAACATGGTATGTATTACCATATTTAACGAAAAGAAACAAAAGCGTGTATATTTATCTATTGAAAATTGGTTTAAACGAACCTTTAAACTTCGTTTTGGTTGTTTGTGTTTCCGACAGGGTAGGAGTATGATGTATTGTGGAACGATTTTCCGTCATCCCTTGTCAAATTTGGTTTGGAGACAAACCGGTTTCGGCGTTGTGCCATCTTCAGTGTCATTTTTCGAACGATGGCACAACACCGAAACCGGTTTGTCTCCAAACCAAATTTGACAAGGGATGACGTAAAATCGTTCCACAATGAACCTTTAAACCTTTATGAAAAGTGGTTCGGTTTTCGGTTCGGATCAAACATTTGTGGAAAATTTCGGTTCAGTTAATGGTTCAGTTAATTAATAGAAAAAATCGGTTTTCCGTTTCAAAACCGGTTCGGTTCAAAACCGGTTCACGTCCCTGAATATAAATGTGTTGGATTTAATAATTTCGTACCTGGAACTTGTTTATAAAAACGCTGCTGGTAACGCAGCTTGGCGAGACACTGCTCCAATAATTATTATAATCTGTTAGAAGAAACACAAAAATAAAGACTGGTTAGAGTCTGATAATCAGCCCTATTCTGCATTTCGACTCGAATCGAAATTTTCTCCGTTTGGCAACTTTGGTATTCTGCGTTCCGTTTCCTTTCGATCAATCTTCGAAATTTACGATTATACCTATTCTACATTATTAAGTTGCAAATTTGTTGACGGAGAACGTTTCGATTGTTATTTTCGTGGGTTTAAATAATAAAATTTTATAAAAAATTTAAGTAAAATATACTATCCATTATTGTAAAAGTCATCATAAATGAATTTTCTCGATTTCTGTGTTTTCGCGAGCGGTAATACGGGCAATACGAAAAATTGGCTCAAATAATGGCAACCAAAAGGTATATTGCGCGACGTTTTCAAAGTGGAAGTCCAGGCGTTTTTGTTTACATTATCTATAAATAAGACTGTGAAATGCACTGAATACAATTTATTCTTTTTATATAAAATTAATAGATGTATGCACATAGATACATACATACATAAAATGTGAAGTTACATAAAAAAGATGCTTTTATTATTGCACTCGTTTTTACTAACTTTTTAAAAAGAGGTGCGTATGTTGTCTCGAATTCGATTTGCTATGGAAAGATAAGCTTTGTTCTTCCCCTCCTCCTGACGGCTTTTAAAATGGGACTCATTTATGTTCAAATCTTCCACTCTGTAGTAAATGCAAATGTTGTGGACTGCTCAAACAACGTTTATAATTTCACTGACTTAAAACGATGAGTAATACAGTTCAAGATGAATTTGTTATGAATCTTCACTCATCTAAAAAAGATCAAACATGTCCCTAAATCTCCGCCTTTCAACTTCCGCATCAGCAATCTGGGACTCGTTCTTCACTTCAAGCAATAACGCCGCGGCTATGGATTTCATTCTTATAATTATGTATCCACTTAAATTTTATTTTTAAATTACAGTGATGCTAGGTATATTTAGTTATTTAAAAATATTTACAAACTTTAACTTCATGTGCTGCTATAGTTTGGTGGCAAATATTTCTTTGTTTTGTTTCGATTTCACACATTCCTAGGCAAACAGCTAATTTCGAAAGATGTTTTCTGTCTTCCTCTTCTTCTTTCGTTTCGATCCTAACGCAGAATACCTAAGTTCGATTCCAGCGGAGCGGAATGCGGGAACGTAATCGAAATGCAGAATAGGGCTGAATATAAATGTGTTGGATTTAAAAATTTCCTACCTGGAACTTGCTTATAACGCCGCTGTTGGTAGCGCCGCTGATGAGACACTGCTCCAATAACCAACTCTAACCAGCTCTAAAACTTAAAAGGCACTGTTCTGAAAACCTTTTTTGAGAAAAATAAATTAGTTTAGTGAATGCATTTAGTTTGCGAAACTTAACTGGAATTCTCTTGAATAAATCGGTGCTTTTTTGGATTAATAGCTCAACCTATATGTGGAAATATATAAACAATTAAATTTCATCAATATGCACATATATACATATATATTTTAGCAAAAATTACTTACAAAATCACAATTATGTATTGCAAATTATCGCTCAGATTTTCCAATAAATTTTAAACGAAAAGTCAGAGAAAAGGAGAATCAATGAAATAGTGATAAATACGCATACTTTTTTCACAAAATTGTTGTCTGCTCCATTCTTTGTTCTATTTTGCCCAGAAAGGAAATTGGAATAAAAAGAGTAGGTATTCCTGTAACGCTGGTATGCCGAAATTGCCAAAATTACAACAACCACCCCCTAAGTGACAACACCTTATTATTATTTCACCATGGGATCAACCGAAATTGAACGGCGTGCGTAAAAAGCTAACTCAAATTCCAAGATTTGTGTTGCGTGACATTTCTATTTGACGTTTATGCTCATTTGACATTTTGATATTTACATTTTGGCGCGACTATGAAGGTAAGTTTTAATTTTCAAGTAAATTTATGTATATTTATTTTATATTCGATTTTCGTTTATTTCTTTTAGATCTGCAACGAAAAAGTTATTGAGGCCGTTCGAAGCTACGCTGTAGCTGTAGCTGAGCTGTATTCAAAACGCCACAAGGACTATAAAAATAAAAAAATTTAAGACGAAGCTTGGGATGCTGTAGCTGTGGTGCTGGAAAATACGCGTAAGTAACTTTTATTCTTGCTATATATATATGTATAATTAATCAAAAAGTTATAACTTTTGTAGCTAACAACTGCAAAACCAGATGGCGAACATTGTGTGACCGGAATCGGAAAGAATTGGCGGAAAGCACTGGTCCGTCTGGTAGTGGAAGCTCCTACAGGAAGCCGTGGAAGTTAAAAGGTGCGATGTCTTTTATAACCGACCACATGGTAGCCGAAAAGTGAGTACAAAAAATAGTTGGGTTCCAGATGCTTCACGATTTGCAGGGTTTTACAGAAAGCTCTTCCACGTGGCCACCTTCCATAAGGTTTGTTAATGGCGAAAACAGCTTTTCCTGAAAATCCTGAAAAACCTGTAAATCGTGAAGCAACTGGAACCCAACTTATGTAGTTATTGTTATTGATAGAAGTTCCTGGCTACCTACACACGGCGCAACGGTTGCGGCAACCATGTGATGTTGCTATTATGTATAAGCAGTATCGGAACTAATGGCGGGAAAAGTTTAGTTATTTGTACATTGAGTTTGTGGTGTGGAGCGGAGGGGGAGGGGATTTGGCACCTAAAACCCCCACCCATTAGAAAGAGCACAGTCCAAGCTTCAAGAAAATTCAGTTTTTCCCTCTACAGACTACCGAGGACCTATATGAAAATGTTGTAAAATTAGCATTTCGACGTAGAAAATATAAACTCGGGTTATTCCACCAACAGACTTTTATGCAGAAAACGTTCCATATTGGCGGCCCTAGGCCGCATTGAGAAAAAATAACCCCCATCAGTTTAACTCCGGCAGAACCCACATCGAAATTTACCAAAAAAAGCATATGTATTTCAAATCGATTTTATTGATAAATTAGCGCTCAGAAATTTGAAATCTTTTTTTAAAATTAAAGCCTAATCCTTTGACTATACATGTATGTTAAAGTTTTTAGATTCGGTCACGCGTTTGGACGCAACAACCCAAAATCATTGTATAAATAACTAAAGCGTACCGTTAATGGCTTATATTAACATACATTTCAGATAACTTTTAACGTTTATTTATGCAAATTATTGAGTTTATTTTCAGTACATGTACAAACGTGGAGCATTTGGAAGACGAGGAGGATCCAGTACCATAGCGCGAAACGTCGGCGAAGAAGAAAAAACACGACGACTTCTTTGAGGACGTACTCGTTAAAATGCAGCTTAAGTACGACAGTGTAGAGGGTGGGCAGGAAGATGAATCTTTCTTCGCCTTACTGCGAAGTAAATTCATTCGTTTTTTCTCCAGAAGAAAAGGACGAGATGCAAGTAGATATTCTACAATTGATCGCAAATAAACTAAAAAATAAAAGTGTAAATTAAAACTGAAATGCAAATTTATCTTCTTATCTTATCTTCTATATATCTGTGGTCATAAGCAATAACCGCCTAAGTCGACTAAAGAAATAATTGAGTTATATACGCTATCGTCTTCTGCAACTACTATTCCATGTGTATGTGAAACACCCATCTCGCTACCTAGGCTATTTAAAAAGTTATAGATGAAAATATTTTTGTTTCCCCATAAGGTTAACATTACAATACAAATCTTTAAAGCATTTTTTCTCGAATTCAGGTATACATATCTTCTTAACTTATTTTATATATACATATATATGATATATAAGATAAGAAGATAGATTTGCATTTCAGTTTTAATTTACACTTTTATTTTTAGTTTAAAACTGAAATGCAAATTTATATATATAAATAATAAATAAATATATATAAATGTGAATGTCTGTTTGTTTATTACCTTAATAACTTTCGAACCACGACACGGATTCGCACAAGACTTTGCACACTTATTTGTTTTTACCCCGGGGAGGTTATAGCTATGGTTTTATTTGCAAATATGTTGTCAACTTTGCAAGGGGGCGAGGCACCTCCCATTGGCCTGCAAAATTTTTAATCAGCTATAACTTTGGAACCATAAGTCAAAAGAGCTTGAAATTTTGACCGAAGACATGTCTATGGTAGGTCCTTTTACTAAGCTCATAAAAGGGGGTGTGGCACATCCCAAAGGCGTGAAATTTTGTATCGCTATAACTTCGGAACAATAAGTCACATGAACTTGAAATTTGGTATGGAGATAAATCTATGGTAGGTGCTTATAGTAACATAACATAAGCGTGGAGTTTTCCATCAGCCATAACTTCGGAACCACAAGTCACATGACCCTTTTAATTCCTTCTGATATGCCTTTCGAATTTAAGAGAATTCAATTTCCAGTTCACTTAGCTTTTGCAATGGCAATAAACAAGAATGCCTAAAAATGAAACGCAAAACTTTATCGAAAATGAAATGTGTGATAATTGCATTGGAAAATGCATTTATGTTAATACATAAATATACGGTTTCAAGTACATCTCTGGAAATTTATGGTAGAGTACTGGAACTTGGTGTGGAGGTATATGAAATCAATCCCATTCCCATGGAGTTTCATGAAACCAATTTAAGTGAAAACTTATCTTTTTATTTGAATTTAATATGGAACCTGACAGAAAAAAATCATTTTTCACTTAAATTGCTTTCGTGAAATTGGCTTTTAAGGTTTGGATTTCTGTTAACAATGATACGGACCCATTTTGAAATTGCCACCAACTATAAAATAAAGTTTCTAGTACAGATTCACTATAGATCCGATAGATAGATAGTTAAATAAAAAGTAAACTAAAATTAGACGAAAATAATCCAATTTATTTTAATAACAACCGAATAATTAAACAGTTAATTTGTTTTTAGGTAATTTGATAGTTCCAATCTGTTTTGCAGTGATTGTTGTGTTGAAGAGTTAGCAATTTGCAAATTAGTTCGGTCGATACTACTAAAGTTTATAGTAGATTGGTCTCCATTTACCTGATAACAATTTTGGGGGCGTAAAAAATTGTGGAGTACAATTGTAGCTAGCACAACCTATAGAAAAAGATATAAATATGTTGATTACATACATTTTATTACCTTCTTAGCATTAGGTGGCTGAAAGTGAATGGGCCTATGAAAAATTCTCCACTTTGCCGTTAATATACCTAAAAAAATTATAATCTAGAGCTTTGGGAAGTTGAACGAATTTAAATTGAGTAATTTTTCTAACCAAAAGCGATTTCGATCCTTATACGCGCCCGAGATATAAATTTATTATGTCTTTCTTTTTCCGCTGTCAGATTTCGGGTAAAAGGCTTCATAATATTTGGTTTTAACGGAAATGCCGCGTCAGCTACCAAATAATATGGAACATTGTTTGTGTAGAAGGTAAATTTGTTGAAGGTGGGATGTTCAGCTCATTGTTTAAAATTTTGTTTCCCATTTCTGAGTTTCTAAAAACACCTCCATCGCTATGATTGCCAAAAGCACCAACATCGACCAAAGTATACTTACTATCGCAAACCGCCAACAGAACTTTTAAATGAGGATTATTAAAAAGTAGATATGTATATGAATACTAAACTGTTTAATTTTCTTACAAAACTAAAGTATTTCTAATAACTGAAATACTCTGAACCGTTATTATTGGGCCTACAATGCGAATATGCTTTCCATCCAAAGCTCCGACGCAATTAGGCAGCCCAGTATCTTGCTGGAACTTCTCAGCAACTTGTGTCCACTCTTCTTGAGTAGGAACGCTGACGTAAAACTGCGATAATCGTTTCCATATAGTATCGCATGTTTCCAAAACCACACATCGCGCGGTTTCTATTCCAATTCTAAATTACAAGGCAATGCTGTGCATGGAACACCCTTGAGCCAAAAAATTGGAAACAGGACCATATTAGAATTATAAAGCCTAAAACATTTAATATTTACTAACTAAAGCGTAACAAAAAGTCTTTGCTCAGAATCAATTTCTAGTCTTCGGAAGCCTTTGCACAAAAACGGTTTTAGTAACTGCAATAACACTTTGAAATTGTCGTGGGTCATCCTCGCAGACTTGAAAACTCTGGATTTTCTCAACTAGTATATTGAATCCAGTAGTCTGAAAGCCAAACTCATCCCGGCTTTGAAAAAGTTCCCGGACTCCCCTACGTCTATGGGGTCTAAGATACATGCTCATTTTACAAATGCTTTGAACTTAATAAAAACTTGCTATTCAGCAAAAACGATAACGAATTGTTTTTATGCTTTTGATGAAAATGTAACAAATTACCGCGTTTTTTATAAACGTCAAACAAACGTCAACAAGCTTATGGAAATTTGACAGAAATGCAACTCTGAAAAATCACGCACGAAAATTTATTTCGGTTTACCCAATGTGAAAAACTTGCGTGCGTGCGTAAAAAGCTCACGCCTGCAATATTAGGTTTCACTTTTCATTTAAAGTAGAAAAAGCTGTACAATTTGAATTTCTTAACCGACTAGTAGCATTGAGTTTTCATGTTTCTACAATCAAATCAAGGCGAATTCAAATAAGGTGGTATCGATTCAACAAATACAACAATTACTTGTATTTTGTTTTTGCTTTTAGCTGGTCATTGTCAAATCTCAGCTTATCTTCTCCGAATGAAAAAGGGCGACAGAAAATGCAAACACTCTCACGTTTTCACTCACTCACTAGCAAAATATAAAATTTTGACAATCAAACGCTACTCACAGCTGATTAAACAACACCACCTTATATAAATTCGCCTTGAATCAAATAAAAAAGAATTTGAATGAATAAATGAAAAACATTTATTAAATTCAAACCAAGTTTGCGATAGTTTTATAATTCAGTTCGAGCAGCAAAAATATATGGAAAGTTTTGAAGAAAATGTAAATATGTAAGTATATTCAAATATATTGTAAACAATTTCTTATGATAATAGTTGAAAAATTTGTATCATAGGATTCGGGAGCTGCAGCACCACCAACTACTGATATTAAAGAAAATCTTATCAGTGGCGAATAAATTTTTAATGAAAAAAGAGGACGTTGCAACGTTTGGGAGATATTTGCAAAAATTAAAAATAGTAATGGAGAATACGTGCGCGATTATGTTGCTTCCAGAAATTGCTTGAACATTTATAAGTTTACGGGCAGCACATCAAATATTCTTAAATAAAAATGCTATGTGATGAATTGCCATAACGTTAAAAATGTTGCTCAAATAGATGTCAGCGTGGAAACGAAACAGGAGAGTATTACTCTTATAACGAAATGGGCAGTAACATTTTTTGCGTACCAGCAAGCAGTGCGGCTTCGGAAAGAGTCTTCTCAGACGCCAGATATCCTATCACTGAAAAACATTGTACTATTGCTAAAAATCCAGATAATATAAATAAAATATTGTTTCTGCATACAAATATTGAAATATAAGTAAAAACGTGTATTAAAACGATTGAATTCTTAACCGATGTCCTTTTGTTATTTTGCAACATATGTATGAAGGTAAATTGTAATAGGAGCGCATGTGTATACATACCTATCGTCGATATATGTACTACATACATAGAAAAAAATATTTTTGGATATTCATAAAAAAATTGTCATTTATTTCAATTCAAGGCGTTCGCATCGACAGTCGTTCGTTGAATTATGTCGTAAATAAAAACACTAACGACAGATTTTAACACATTTTCAACACTTCTTCATTTCGAAAGGATGATAGGAATACAAATTTGTAGTAGATTATGTCATTGGTTGCATCATAATGCCAATGAAAATCTCAAATTTCGACGAACGACTGTCGTTCCGACAATCGGAATGGGGGCTATATTTTGAATATTGTTATGACGACACACATATCAGAACAGGTATTCACTCAAATTTAAAAACAATTTGAAGCCAAATTCATTCATTCGTTTTGTATATGAATAGTTCATATGCCGTTTTGAATGCATTCATGCAGCCCTCTAATACATACATTGATCTTAAGCTTTTCCTTTTTTTCCTAGATGAAGTTCGTGGAAAAAAAAACTAGGGCTGCGCAGCAGAAACCTAATTTTACATTGCTGTAGTAGCATACAAAATAAGTAACAGCAAAGAAATGTCTGTTTCGCTTCATGCAAGTTCTGCACAAAAAAAAAGAACTCAACAATGTTAGTTAACACATCAACATTCAATCAATCCAATTAGATTTTAATACATGTATACATATGTACATAAGTATGTTCAAATTAGAATTGATATGGTAAAGTAATTTAGCCCTGTATTTTATGGCAATCCTGCCTCTGTCTAGCCGAATTCCAATTTTCCAACGCTGTAGTGCAAAGGCGGCCATTTCATAGGCGCGCGTGTCAAATTTTTCTCTTCTGCTTTCACACGTACACGAGAAAAACTGCGCTGCTTTCACACATACGTGAGCAGAGGTGGGCAAGCCACCAAACAAGCGTGAGCTAAAAGTGAGAA